TGCCACTTGGAGCTTCAGGCCTCTCATCTGCGGAATACGGCATGGACATATCACGTCCTGAGGCCCCCCAGCATTAACGAAACTCTTCTTCCACTGGAGAATTGACATCATGAATTCTTCCTTCTCAGGTCAGTGGAGCCAGGCGCTTGATTTCCCAGGCAGCTTCGATCAGGCAGGGGCATGGGTCTTGGGCTCTTCCAATCAGATGCGCCAGCACTAGACTTCACGCTGCGGAGAGCAGTGTGAGGGAGTGCAGAGTGTGGCACCCATTTTCCCAGGAGACACTGGTGGAGAGGGGGGGTCACATGACAGAGTCCCCTGACAGTGTCCAGGGCCTGAGCTGCTGTGATCTGACACAGTGTGGCTTGGGTGGTTCTGGGCTTCCTCGTTTCCAGGCCATGTGCTACCCCTAGTCCATTTGGTGACTTTGTGCAAATTAGACAATTAGGCACCCCTTCAAGATGCTTTACTGCCCTCTGCTGGAAAATTGTTTGTATACAAATGTACCAATATGTCTAGGGCTGGAATGGCAGCCTCTAAATGTAATGGTGTTGTGCAGTATGCAACCTGGACAACTGATCTTCGTGGCTCTGCCGGCCTAACTTTCTTCTGGCTCTTGTGAAAATTCTGAAAGAGACTTAATTTCCTGTAGTAAATGCCTTTTCTACTTAAGCTAGCTGAAGTGGCTTCCGGTGTTTGACGAAGAACTCTGACTGATATGAATAGGGATGCTGATACATGCCTCCTGGGGTTGAAACCAGATGACTTGTGGAAGCAAGAGTCTCCGAGAAGGCATAAGGCACCTGCGTTACTCAGCGAGTTTGTACTTCATTTATTGTGAGAGGAACATGGGAAAATGATCTAATTCACTCTATCTTCCTTCTTTATTCTGGAAACCTATTTGTTTATTCTTTTGTTTTTGTTGTCAGGGTCAGAGTACATGGTTAAAGAGGGGAGCCGCAAGGATGAAAATGTGAGTGTGCGTTATACATATTCTAGCAGGGTGACTTGTAGGGAAAATGGCTTTGCTGGGTCTCGCTCATGCACTGTTGTGTCTCCTATTGTTACAAGGAGAGATGACATCAGCCTATGTACCATTTGTCCGGTGGCTGAGTGTGTGTGTGTGTGTATGTGAGTGTGTGTGAGAGGGTGTGTGTGTGTGTGTATGAGTGTGTGTGTGTGAGTGTGTGTGTGTCTGGCTGCAGATAATGTGATCAGGTTCCAGGTTTTCCAGGGCAAATTTGAGATGTTTTGTTTTTATATATCAGGCCCTTTCTGGACCCATATGTTTTGGTTTAGGCCACGTGGGCACTGCCACTCAAGGTCATAGCAGCCTCTGTCCAGGGTGTGCCAAGAAGAGAAAAGGAGTAGGATCTCCCCAGGGAATCCTCCTTCCATCAATTTATGGAAATGCCTGTCTGTCTCAGTCCGCAGCCTTCAAACCTGAAAGGAGCGAAAGGTGAGTTGCTTGCTTCCTGCATTCCCCATCCCTTTCTGAGCCAGGAAGTGGGATAAGGGAGGGATGGGCGGGAGCTGCGAGGCCGGTAACTGTTTAAGGGTGCAATTTCAAGGCTCCTCTGCCCAGAGAAACCAGGCTTGTTTGCTGCTGGCAATGTGACAGTGCTTTGCTAAGGGGACTTTCTTTCCACCTTGAATGAGGAGCAGGGGCGGCAAAGGCCAGGAGAGGGAGCCATTGAGTCACGTTCACATTTAGTGACTCCTTTCAGGTCAGGTTTGGACAGAGTGGAGGACAGACGGAAAGGGTGTCTACATCCGGAGGGGTAGTTGTGTTAGGAAGAGGGACTTAGGAGCAGAGAAAAGGAAGACACGGGGGAATTGGGGAAGGGGGTTCACTGGATACAAACCTCCTCATTCTGGAATTTGTCCCAGGATGTCCCAGGTCCCTGGAGGTCCCTTGGCATGAGTGTTGCCTGGCACTTCCCTCCTGTAGGGCCCCCACCCCCACCGGCTCGTGCTTCCAGCTGGGGGACTAATCCTGATGCCCTAATGAAGTCCCAACTTTGCCCACTCTCAGAGGGGAAAGGCCACGTACAGGGCACCCGGCTGTGCCCTGTTCTGGAAGCGCCCCTTACATGCTGGTTGCCCGTTCTGCAGTGAGCTCAGAGGTCCCTCAGGGAGGAAGAGCTGTCCAGACCCCAGGAAAGGAGGAGTGGCGTCTGTAAAGGGCTCTGTCTTTCAGGAAGGGGCAGACCCTGGGTCAGATAAAGGCCTGAGACGAGGGTCTTACTTCCCGTTGGGTCATTACTATTCTCTTGTCACATGTTTGGGGACTCTAAGTAAGAACCATGGCTTTTCTATGAAGTCCCCTTCTCTGACCCCAACTTGCTGCAGGTGACTGGTTTGGGGAGAAGGGGGCCGGTAGCCCTGGGCCACCAAGCTGAGTTTTGTGAACCTGCCCAGTGCTTCTTTTTCACTCGCCACCCACTCCCTGTGGCATGGTTCTTCTTCCACGGTTGTATGGCGGATATGTATTCACCTTTTCACAAATTAGATGGAGGGAACCCTGGAGACTCTCCTCTCCAGTATCCTTTTTTTTTATTTTTTGATACAGGGTATATCGCTCTGTCACCCCAACTAGAGTACAATGGTGTGATCACAGCCCACTGTAACCTCAAACTCCCAGCCTCAAGCAATCCAATCCTTCCCCCTCAACCTCCCAAAGTGCTGGGATTACAGGGCTGAGCCACTGCGCCCGGTCTCCAGCATTCTTAAGAGGCAGTGCTGAACTCTTGTGCTGACTGAGAGCTCACTCCTTCACGAGGGACCTTGTTCCTCTTTAGGACAACTCCAGATGTTAGGGAGTTCTCTCCTTTTTTTGGGCACCCAGTTGCCTCCTGGAATCTCTCTCCTAATGACTCGGGTTGGCTAAATTTTTGGAGAAAGCTTCCCCTCCCCAACACACCTGTAGAAGTTCCAAGGCCTGTTTGAATATGTCCCTTAAGCCTTCTTCTCCAGGTAAGCTGCGCGTGTTTCTTTGGCCTGTCCTCGGAGGCCTCATTCTACTTCCTTCACTCCTCTTCCCTCCACTGAAGGCTCCTTTGCTATCAGGAGCTCCCTTAGCACCTTGGAACCCCAGGGGGCAGGTCACACATGGCCAGGCTCCATGGAATTCCCACCTGGCCAGGGCTAGAAGGAGATTTTACTCACAGGAGATCAGGAGCACCCAAGGGTCAGGGCCCACTGGGCCCAGTTCCCTACCCCTTCTCCATCTTCTCCAGTGTCCACCTATGTCACTCAGTGGACACTGACCCCCAGAATGAGGACCACATGATCCTAGAATGGCTGAGCTGAGCAGAATCTTGACGAGCAGCTGGCCTTGCATTTCTTGCACTGGGCTATGCTTACCCTGAGCCCTCAGCCATAGGCTGGGAGCCTCCCAAAGCTGTAGGGTGGCCAAGAAACACTTTGACTTCACTAGAAGATTCTGGGGAAAAGGCAAGTCACTTAACTGGCAAGTTGATCAAAACGATATTTTTATATTAAGACAGATGCGTATATGTTATGTAATATAATGCAGAAACATGAATTTCAAAGCCAAAACAGGAGACTTCAGAGGTTTACACTACAGATAGGTTCCTTTGGGCTATTTCTTTAGTGTTCTGCCCCCAATTTGCCAACCAGCTGGCCCCCCTCTGCTGAGGGCTGTTTAGGTGGAGAACTTCGAGAACTTCGAGAAGCTCTGATTACTCCATTTCCTTTATTACTAGAGGTGAGGGAAGTGAGGACCAGAGTGGAGGGGTGATTAGACTGAAGACACACAGCTTGGAGGAGTCCAGATTGGAAACTCAGATCTGTTCTTTTCTCTGTACCAAGAAACGCTGCATAGAAGTTGCCTACTATGGCAAGAAAGGAATCAAAAATAGAAAAGAGGCTCCGGGTCGACCCTTGGTTATCCAGAGATACAATTGGAAGAACAATGTTACCAAGAGTCTGGGCTGTGGGTTGTAAGTAGCGCTGACTCCATTCAATGACAGAAGTATATTCCTTTCCCTTAGGTTCTTTTAGGATCTAATGTTCTTTGGGAAAGAGGCTCAGGTGAAGAAGGGAGGAGAAGCCCAACGCCAGCGCCGGGAAGTGAGAGGAAGAAGGCCCAGAGAGCAGTAGGGACAGCCGGAGCCCACTCCGGATGTCAGGCTGGGGAACCGGTAGGACTTCCCTTGCTCACACACCCTGGGGTGCAGCTGCACATGTGTGTGAACACACGCACATACACGCACACCTCACACTCAGGCCCACCGATGCCGCAAAGCTTAAGATCCAACCATGCCTTACAAAGCTGGAATGTAAGAGACTACCGAGAATTGAGTTCTGCCCTCTCGACCATGAAACACCCCTGGATAACTGAAACGGCAATTGGAAGGGGGATTCAATCTTACCAGGCAAATTAAGCAAGCATAGCTCACTTTTACTCAAAACGCTGTCCTTGAAAATATTAAATAAGGGTCAAAGGTTTTGTTTTTCTTTGTAAAGGTGTCTTTGACATTATTTTAAGTTTATGACACCCAACAGTCAAAAACCTTAAGACTGGCTTGTTGCTGTCCTGTGAACTTTCAGAAGTCACATCTCACAGAAGTGCGACTCTCAATATAATTTAATCAAGTCAATTAATACTGTTTAATAAATAGGCCAGAAAATTAGCTGCGAGTTTTTCTCGGCGGGATGTGGCGTGCGACCGAAGTTATGGAAGATTGTCCCTTGAATCACTAAGGCAAACTTTGCTGAGTGTCATTTTACATAGAGCAATCACATAAAAAAAGAATTTAATAGAAAAAAATTCCAAAGTTCTCCACAGACAGACAGGAAATCGAAACATCAAAAAAAAAAAAAAAATTGAAGCAAAACAAAACACAACCACCCCTCCCCGACAACCCATTTGCTTCAAGTTCTTGATCATTACAGTACTCAACAATCTTTGGATATTTTACAAATGTACAACTCCAAACTGCAGGCCAGGAAAAAAACAGAAAAGAACTAACCAGTCATCTGAAAAATTGAGTTATAAGAAGTCATCACCTTTACAAAATAAAAACAAAGCCCAACACCACTGGATTCCAATTTTAGTTTCACGTGTTTTGCCTTTTTTTTTTTTCCCTCTCTTTTAAAGTCTGGTTCGGCCCCAATCGCTTGGCTGATGGGGGGGACACGGGCGCATTGGCTGGTGGACATGGGCATGCTTCTGGGGCAAGTGTCTGAAACGAAGACAGGAATCTGAGAGGCGGCTACAGGAATCTGAGAGGTGGCTGCCCAGGCAGATGACTTCTGAGAACAGAGGGCGTGTGTAGCAATCCTGCTGGCTGGAGTGGCATCCGGTGGTGCGAAGAATCAGGGGGTCTCTTCCGGAGAGCTGTGAGAGGGACAGAGTCTGTGCTCTTCTCTGGCCTTTTTGTTTGTTGTGTGTTTGCTCAGGAAAAAGCCAAGGCGACGGGAAGAGCTGAAGTCTCTTTGTGCCCACAGCACAGAGATTGGGGACTCCAGCCCTGGGCCCTCCCTGGGGATGAACCCTCCTCCTCTCTGGGCTGCTAAGAAACCAAAGCAAACTCGGCAAGAAAAGAGAGGGGAGGGAAGGGGAGAGAAGCTCAGGAAGGCACGGGGCCAGCAGAGCCTTCCTTTTCAGGACCTGTTGAAAACTCAAGAACCAGGAGAACATGTGACAGCTCTAACTCACAGAGCCCTTCAAACCTCAGAGGCCTCCACTTCTCTGCACTGAGCCCTTTTGTTAAAAAAGGGAGCCAAATACTCCCACTTCACCCCCAGAGGGAGGAGGAAGGGGTTGAGGGGGGTTCTCACACAGCAAACGGGACCATCGCTAGCAATGCCAAGGCCCTGAGGAACCCACAACTCAAAAAGCAAACAGATAAACCCTAGAAAACCAGGTATGTATTTTGTCTGTTTTCAGGAATCAGGGTGAGGGGAAACAGTTGCCAGGTGTTAAGAGGTGGCCCCCATCTCTTCGATGTTGGCCCTGAGAGCCCCAAGACACTGCACAGCCTTGGAAGGGGCATTGGAGATGGGGTAAACACTAAATAGTGCCACCAGGAGTCCAGACACGAACAGCGGCCTGCAGGGAAGGGAAGGTAGCATTCGGAGTTCGCAGACCTGCCTGTGGGCTTTGGTGAAGTTCGGAAGCTCCCCTGACCCCCGATCTCTGTCTAGTCTGGCCATATTTCTCACCTATGCTAATATGCTAATATAGAGCTGGATGTAATAAAACTAAGTCCAGAAAGATAAACTGTTTCCCCATGGACTTGGGGAATACAAAGCTCCTACCTTCTCTGGGATTCTCTGGGGGGATAGGTGTGTATGTGTTTAGAGGTGGAGGGAGGAAACCTAAGTTACCAGCCCCTTCTATAGCCGGGTGACACTGAGCTACAGAGGGCTGACCTGTCAAGGTCACAGGACAGGTAAGGGGAAAAACGGCCCTGGCCTCCCAGAGCCTGATTCCTGACTGGTTCCAGGGGGCCTCCCTGCCAACAGAGCATTTCTTTCTATGTGGCAGGTGGGTAGTTCTCAAAAAGACCCCGGGGCCACTGGAGACTGGAAAATGAGCCCTCAGAGGAGTGTTGGCAGAGACTCTGCCACAGGGGGTGGGGCTTAACCAAGGTGCATGCCCAGCCCCTACCTCCTCCTGCTCCATCTGGCTGGGCCCCAGGCCAACCACCCCCTGACCCCTCGTAACTCACCCAGCTCCTAAGTGCCCCTGGGCATCCAGTTCTGTGTGGCTTGGGCCGGTGCAAATTTCTACATGAGAGCCAGAGAGACAGCCAGGGAGGGAGGCCCGGGCTCCTGGTCTTTTGGGAAGAGATGCCCGTCTCAGAACAGCAAAAGGAGGCAGCTGCTTTAGGAGCCTGGGAAAATGCCATCACTGATAGTATTATTATTTTTTTTTCCATTTTCCCTTTGTGTTTTTAAAATGAAAAGTTCAGATCCATGGGGTGGGGAAGAGCGGGCCTGGAGGGAGAAGGACTGGAGGGCTGGTGGGCTGGAGTCGACAGTGACCAGCCTAGTTGTTGGCTTCGGACATGGAGGCCACGTGGTTGAGGCCGGCGAGCCCAGGGAGGCCGGCCAGGCCCGCGGCCCACGGGTCGGGCAGCGGGAAGTAGGGCCGCCCGGCTGCCACGTTCTCGGCCAGCGCGAAGGCCAGGAGGCCCCCCGCGTTCCTCTCAGCCTCCAGCTGCGCGCGCCCGAACAGCTTCATCTGCGTCTCCTCGAACTGCCGCTCCAGCTCCTGCAGGCTCAGGGCGCCCTTGGGCGCTGCCAGGAAGTGCTTGGCGGGGCTGGGGCCCGGGAGGCACACGGCTGCGCCGCCCAGGTGGCCGCCCACTTCGCCCAGAGCCGGAGGCATCACGAAGGCCGCCTTGTCGGGGGCCGGGCCACCCGGCCCGAAGAGCAGGCTGGCGGCCCTCCACGCAGCGGGCTTGCGGCCGCGTCGGGGCCGCGCCATGCGGCAGCTCTGGCGCTTGATGTGGCGGTGCAGGTGGTCGGAGCGCGTGAAGCTCTTGTAGCAGAACTCGCACTGGTAGGGCCGCACTCCCGTGTGGATGCGCATGTGGTTCTTGAGGTCGTAGTTGTGCACAAACTTGGCGTTGCAGTGGATGCACAGGTAGGGCCGCTCCCCCGTGTGCTTCCGCATGTGGATTTTCAGCTTGTCCTGCCTGCAATGCAGAGACCGGCGGTCAGTTCCGCAGGGAACACCAGGAGCCATTCCTAACCTTCTGCTCCCCTTTCCTTCAGAACCAGCCGAGGCTCCCTACTGCCATGGAGTCAAACCCCAGAAATAGGTCCCATGCTAGATCTACCCTCAACTGCTGCCCCACCTTAGACAGGTATGGTTACTCACCTGGATTAAAGGGATGTGGAAAAAGCAGTGTCTGGAAAGTCCCACTCCCCTAAACTCCTTTTATATCCGAGTTCAGAGTCATGAAACTCCCACTCTATTAGGGGTTTATCTCACGTACTGGGAAGACACTTCGCCAGAAGTCAGGGTTCTGACCTTAGTCCTCGGATAGTGCAGCGACTTCTGCTGATACTGGATTGCACTTTAATCTCACACCCACTCTCTCCAGGCAACCATATGCTTTCCCTCCAGTTCATCTATATGCTTTGGCCCAAAGTCCCTGGTCCCATCCCAGCCCCCGGGGCTGTTGAGATCTGTCTGTGTTTGGCACTAATCTGGGAGGCTATAGAAGCTTGGGCACACCTTGTTCAAACCTCCTGCATGGTGGTTTCTTATCCTAAGCCTTGGGCTCTGCTCTTTGTAGACAATTTCAGGGTTTACAAAAGAGCCAGGTGCGAGAAGAATGCAGCCTAATCTAGGGCAAAACTTTTCGGGGTTTAAGTGGTATTATTCACAGGTAAGGTATGGTGTAGGGTGGGGTGCCTGTGACTTTTGGGGGTCTGGGAGCCTCTGCGCCAGCTGCAGACCCACCACCAACTTGGTGGTGACCTCAGGCAAGTTACTTAACCTCACTGCCCAGAGCTGAACCTGGTGCCAGACATCAGTTCTCATTGTCCAGGGCTGATGGAAAGAACCGGATCCTGTGTGAGCTAGATTCCACATACCTCCTGGTGGCCTTGACAGGAAAACTGACATCAGGGGGTTGTTTTCATAAAGACTGAGCATTGGGTAAACCAGCTTAAGCTGGCTGAGGTACAGGCAGCTGGGCTGCAAGAATTCCTCTTGGGATAATTTGCAGCCTTCCCCAATGGGGCCATACGGGCCAGGAAGCTCTGTGTCTAGTCTCCTACCTCCTCCCTGAAGATGTGGCTTGTGTGGAGCATCTGCCTATGATTTCAGACTCTGCTCTGAGGTTAGAGCAGATGTGGAGTCCAGGTGTCCTCCCTAAGATGGCCAGATTTAAACCCTGTTTCACATAATCCCACGACATCAGGTGCAGGTCCTAGGCTCCTGGTGTCTCCTGGCCACTAGAGGTCTCACCAGCTCTCATTTTCAAAATGGTTCTCCAGGGGCAGAGCAGGAGAGAAAAGGATGTTCCCGTGAACACTGGCAGGCACTGTGGGAGGAGGGTCAGAGAGGACAGACCGTCCTCCCACCTGTGCTCACAGGAAAGCTGGAGAGCCCCTGGCACGGGGGAAGGGAAGTGGGGTCACCCTCCTCCCTTCCACATCCCACTGCTCCTGCCTCTTCTCAAACCCACCAGCCACCCCTAGGCTACATGGTACTCTGCTGTGATATCCCACCCCCTACCAGCATGCTGTGGTCTCTGTAACCCAGATTTCACCTAGATGATTGGATTTTTGAGGAGGAAGGGACCTCAGAGACCATTTAGGCCAGTGGGTATCCAACTTAAGGATGCATTCGAACCATAATCAGGACTCAATAAAACAGTGCTGGGCCCTACTCCTAGAAATTCTGATCAGTAGGTCTGGGATGCGGGAGAGGGACAAAGGATTTGCATTTCTAACCAGGTGCCACATGCTGGTGGTGGTGGTGGTCCGCGGACCCCATACTGAGAACCACTGGTCCAGGCAAAGCCTCCACTATGTAGGTGGGCAAACAGGCCCAGCTGGGGAACTTGCCAAGCTCACCCAGAGGGTCATGGCAGGCCTGGGAGTCAAGGCCTCTTTTCTCACCACAGCACTGTGATGGTGAAAATGGAAGTGTCAGGTGCCTGTATCCCTGGAGTGATGTAACTTCCCAGTCCTGAGGGGTATGTCTTGGGCCTCCACAAATTCCCCCAGGCTCTGGCGGAAACACTGATGCTAGGTGGTTGGTTGGGCTCCCTCACCAGGCCTAGCAGAGGGCTCAGCTCAGAATCAGCTAAGCGGGCTCTAAATGCATCATCTTATTACTCCTCACCACAGCCTAGGAGGTAGGTTTTTTTATTTTTATTTTTATTTTTTTGAGACAGAGTCTCGCTCTGTCACCCAGGCTGGAGTGCAGTGGCACGATCTCGGCTCACCACAACCTCTGCTTCTCAGGTTCAAATGATTCTCCTGCCTCAGCCTCTTGAATAACTGGGATTATAGGCACGCATCACCATGCCCGGCTAAGTTTTGTATTTTTTAAAGTAGAAACGGGTCAGGCTGGTCTCAAACTCCTGACCTTGTGATCTGACCACCTCGGCCTCCCAAAGTGCTGGGATTACAGGCATGAGCCACCATTCCCGGCTGAGGTAGGTTTTTGGTTTTTTGAGACGGAGTCTCGTTCTGTCACCCAGGCTGGCTTGAGTGTAGTAGTGCAATCTTAGCTCATTGCAAGCTCTGCATCCCAGGTTCATGCCATTCTCCTTCCTCAGCCCCCCAAGTAGCTGGGACTATAGGCACCCACCACCACGCCTGGCTAATTTTTTTTTGTATTTTTAACAGAGACAGGGTTTCACTGTGTTAGCCAGGATGGTCTTGATCTCCTGACCTCGTGATCCGCCCGCCTCAGCCTCCCAAAGTGCTGGGATTACAGGCGTGAGCCACTGTGCCTGGCCAGGTAGGTTTTTTTTAAGTCACTATTACACATAATTAGTAGTACGAACCCTTAGGTCACTCTCAAACAATGGACAATATAAGTGGTAAATCTTCAAATGTCTTCCAAACTTCTCATTAGTGTATCTAAAGTAAGTCCCATTTTTGTGCAATTGGTCCGAGTATGTAAGAAGTGCTGAGAAGGTGCCTACAATATCCTTTTATTGAACACCTGCTTTGGGCAGGTAAATACATGACTTCATTGACCCTGGGAGTTCATTATTCAGAGGCAAGGTATGGTGTAGAGATAGGGCCCCTCCAGGAGTCTGGGAGTCCCTGTTGTAGCTCCAGACCCACCACCAACTTTTTGGGTGGCTTTAGGCAAGTTATTTAACCTCTTTGTGCAGAGCTAAACCTAGGACCAGACATCACTTCCCATTGTCCAGGGCAGATGGAGGGAATCTGGGTTTGCGTGAGCTAGATTCAACACATTTGGTGTACTTTCCTCACTTGGACACAGGCAGAAAGGAGGCTCAAAGAAGTTAAGAGCTTCCCAAAGGTATCCAGCTGGTGAGGGGCAAAGGAACCTGAGGGGCTACCTGGCTGTGGTTTGTTTGTAAGCTATTCTGGGGATGAGGAAGGATGGATTTTCACACCTGGGACTCCCAACCTGAGGCCTACAAGGACTGCTGCAGAAAGGGCAGACCAGAACAATCAAGAGAGGGTACCAGTAGCTAGCCAGCTTTCTGCCACTGTGGCCAGAAGACTAGGGTATGCCAGTGGGAGGAACTCAGCCCCGGGCAGGAGCTTTCCCTAATGGAGACATTTGTGGGAATGGGGGCAAGGGGCGGGAAGAGTAGGCAAAGCTCATGAGAAGCCAGTTCTGGAAAAAACTCCAGAGGATCATCTAGTTTACCAGGCACACTTTACCACATTCTGATTCATGGTCTGAGTCAGTGGGCCCAGTAAGCTACACTATTAGCAGTACATGTCTCAGGACCTTGAAAACACTGATCTAATTACTTCCAAGATAAGGAAAGCAAGGACCAAAGAGGGAATGGTGTCCTAGGGCCACACAGCCTCCTTCTTTACACTGACCTTTCCTGTGGATACTAAGACATGTGCATTGGAGCTGGAGGTGGTGCCGGGTACACTCCAAGAACTGGACCAGTTCCCTTCCCTGGTCTGGGCCTTAGTTTCCTGATCTCTGAAATGGGGGTTGGGCTGCATCCTTGGGGCCTCTAAGTGCTCCATGAGTGTTTGCATCTGGGTAATGGGCTTCTACCAAATCTCTTTCTGGAGTCTGTTTGGCTGGCTGGCTTCCTTGCCCCTTCACATATTCAATCTACCTGTGGGAGCAGCGTGAATTTAAGCTGGAATATGTTCTAGCTGGAATCTCAGGAGCTGAGCTCTTAGTTACTTCTCTGTAGCAATAGAGGTCTGGTGGTTCCACTTAAAATTTCCCAAGGCCCCGTTGTTCAATGGCCTGTGTGCTCACTTACCCCTCAGCATGGCTTTCTGGGGTCTTTACAAGCTCACTGCCATCTCCTCTGCCAGCTTCCTGCCTGCCCCCCAAGGTATACTGTCCCACACTCTGGGCATCCCTGCATCTTTGAACACCTGCAGGTATGAACTGGACTGCTGGTTCCCCAGTGCACAGCCCACCACATTACTGGGTGGGTGCCTGGTAAACCCTGGCTCCTTCCCCGTGTGTGCATGTCTTGTGCTTGGACACTGATGTTCCATCCTTAGGGCCCTCCCAGAAGGTCAAGCCCAGAGCCAGGGTGCCCCTTCCTCCCAGCCGTCCTCCTTCCAGCTCTCCTCCTCCCGGCACTCCTCCCTGCATGTGGCATGGAGGGTTCTGGTACCTGCTTTGATGAGAACCTGTGGGATGCTCTTTCATACTCTGCACAACACACAACAATGAATGTAGATAGAGGGGAGGCTCACTGCATGTTTGGTGACTGACAAGAGCGGCCAATTTCAGAATTCCCTGACTACAAATCCGACATTCTCCCCTCTGGCCCTGGTCCCCTTGTCTGCCATCTCATTCCATCTCTCTGCATCAGGGACAGCCAAGGACATATGCACCCAAGCCTTGGTCTACACGCCCGCTTCCAGCCTGGAGAGTTCGTCGTCGGGAAAGTCGTGTGAGTCCTCATGAGCTCATTCCCAGAATCAAAGAAAAGGGCTGCGGGGCCTTGGCCTGAGGTCTGTGGCCTCCAGAAAGGCTCCC